ACAAGGTCCCTTCATATCTTCATTCATGGTTCACCCTAATATATAATCCGGACTGAATTTATAGCAGTACTTCAACCGGTCCTGCCTTCACTGATATACTAAGAAACTACTCAGGACATTCAAGGAGACACGATTTATGCTTATCTCTCCTAACCATCTTGTTCTTCATACCTATTGCCATCATCTTAGCCTTTCTGTTGTTATGTTTCACAGCATTTTACCACTTCTAAGGGTCACTTTCCATCAGTCGAAACATCTGAAACCATAGTTAATACATTTTCACTGAAATTGCGTGTTCGACTCACCATTTTATGACGTGTTTGTAGGGACGGTAAATATTGTTATAGCCTCCTCTTCGAAAGCGCATTGGCGAGATAATCAATTCGCTTTTAATCTCTTCCATACTTACCTTTAATGCTACCATCTACTGTTCCGTCACATTCGCCCTACAACAGAAAAAAATTGAGGACATGGCTGGTTTATACTCAGTATCAGAGTCACTGCGGTTAAAGATGGATTTTTTAGGATCCTTTCAACCTTAACCAGATAGGTAGCCAAGGCCTTTTCAAATAAAAGCTGTTCCCCAGGGATCAGTAATTATATTCAGCGTATAGACCAAATAATCCTTTCCCATACTCTACTCCTGTGGTTGGATGATGGCGGGATTGAAACGTCATTGGTTCTGCTTCGTTGCTTATCTTCTAATGATTCAATTGCTTCATAAATGTCCATAGTCCAGAAATTGTACCGACAAAACTCTGTCTGTTATCACTGTACGTCCCTCTTCCTTATATTGAACGCAATAAATAATCAGTGTTTAGGCTTATTATACAAAATATCAATACAAACTATCACATGTCTCACCATCCAGTCATATACCATAGGGTATAAGAGTTACATATGTCCACTTCATATCATTCACTTTATCCATGAACATATGAAGATAATTAGCGATATCGTCTCGTAATTTAAAAACCTGAAAATACTTATATTCATATCAACTGACATAACTCTCTCCCTTCATTCTAACACTGATTGGCATATACCATGACGACATATGACAGGGTAGCATTGTAGTCACACATCAAGACAATTTGATGAAGTCCCACTGGTGACCGTCACTAATGCCAAGAATCTGATGCAAACAAATTGTAGTATCTCTAGACCTACAACACCTAGCCGCCAGATCGATTTCGGGAAAAAATATATCTTTGATGTTTAAGGTTCGGAAAATTGGTACAGTTCAATAATAACCATGAAGTTTCTGTGGGTGATAAAAGTATTCTGATGGATAAGCCAATTTGACACTCAGTAATATTCATGTAAATATCTTGTCCAATGGAAAATTTCACTACTGGTATCAGTAGATTTCGAGGGACTGTGGTATGAAATATCATTTTGAGCCTTAGAAGATGTGAGTATTGTCTACCTTCATTCGTAGACCATGGATTGGCTTGTAAAAGGTGTCATTCGACAATCTTTTTTGGCTATTATTTACCCTAAAGAAGTGGCTTAGATAATGTCACGAAGCGTAAAAGTATAATTTTTCCACTCGTTAAGATATAACAAAAATATATTGTTGTGCTTATTCAACAGTTGTATCGAAGGTATGTCAATTATTGTCATGCCTTTAGTTGTAATACTGTTTGCAGTGTCAAAAGCATGATAACTGTGGACAAGAATGTGATGCGAAATTGCCCATAAGATTGACGAGCAAATATAAAACATCAGAAGTTTTAGTAGTTGATCCCTGCGGTGCACATCAAAGAAAACATAACCAAGACATGATAACATGCAAAAAATAATAAGCTAAAAGTGATTAGAAGAATTCAAATATAAAAACAACAAACTTAATTCTAAGAACAAAGTTATGCATATTAAACGAAAAAAATAATGGCGACTGTTGTGTAGTGAGTATTACTTCAAAGTAACTTTTTGAGTAACCGAACAAATGGAGTTCACCCAATCATCAAATATTCTGCTATGAGTTCGACCTGATTTCATGAAGAGAACATACAAATAAAATAGCGCAAACATATCATGGGTTTAGTGCCCGACGAACCTGTTGTTCACAATGCTTTTCTAGTTGAAGACTCCAAAGTCAGTTAAAACAGAATTAAGGAACGAATAGGTCCGAAGATCTGAATAAATCTATGCGACACTATATCTTTACTGACTGTCTAAGAAGTCCACCTTATAATTCCTAATGTGATTCAAAAATTTTCCAGTATTCAACAAACTGGCTAACTACTTTGTAACGTAATATGTTCCAACTCCAGCAATCTTGTTCAACAGTAAAAATGCATTAAATTTTGCCCAAGACATTTATCATCCAAACAGTTGTAGCTAGACTGTTTTTATTTATATGCAAACACAAAACAAACTTATGATGACATTGAAACATCGTTGTGTTAGACCTGCATGCCTTTCCCTGTCGACGATGGGATGGAAAGACATAACTTCAATAAGTGTTATCACAATGTCTGCACCAGGCTCTCGCCGGCTGCATATAAACGGTACTGTAAGCCACTATCACGTTGGTCGTGCAAAGAATGTTGTTCTTCAAAGTCTCTGCTGATTCTAGAGACGATTAAGCTGCTGAACATAGCTAGAAAATTGCCCTCTGATAAACGGGCAGCAGAAGATGAACAGAATTCCGTTTTCGAGAAATTTGAGAGCGTTATCATGAGCCCAGCCCTAGACTTAAACGAGTCCATAAAGGTCATATTATTAAAATTCATGGCTGAGATTGCCTGTTGAACAGTTCTGCCGGCCAGTCCTAACATATGGAAGGCAGATATGGAGGCCATCAACTCCGCAGCATCGGCTGAAAGCTGGTGAATTGACTCGAAGGCATCAGTACAAGAGACATAAGCTCATTTCAGGCAGTTACACAATCGGGTAACTCAACCATACATAACCTGGACAGTCCCGGAGAAGAAGTACGGCCGTCCCTGGATAGGCCGGGTTATTCAACGTTTACTAAGTCAAAAGAAGAAATGTCGGAATTTTGCCATCAGCCTTGGTACAACAGATCTGTAAGAAACACGTGTGTAATGAAAATTCTGGAAGCTCCGAGAAAATATGAAATGAATTTGGCACAATCTGCGCTCAAACAGCCTAAGAGAATATTCCCGTACATAAACTACGAGACAAGGATGCATCATCGGATTCCCAACCTAATTAAATAAGGGAGTGAATCTGGAGTGATTGAGGGAACTCAAGATATATCAGAGGCTATGACTAACTTTTTGGGGCGGTTTTCAATCAGGAACCTCTTCTAGACAAAGAACCAGATCCAAATACAGAGTCAACAAACCACCTGTTCACTGTGGACTTTGATCAAGACGATGTACTTAAGGCATGGAAAAGTCAACAGGACCTGACGAACTACACCCCAAAATCTTGAGACATATTGCACAATATATCGCAGCTCCACTGACTGTGATATTCAATATGTCACTTGCTCAGGGTGTGTTACCTATGGGCTGGAAGGACGCAACCGTCACTCCTATACATGAAACAGGACAAAGACAACTTCCATCGAACTACAGACCTGCCAACCTCACCAGTGTTGTAGTCAAAATATTAGAAAGAATAGTCAAACAGACCATAATGACATTTGTGGAAACCTATAACTTATTAAACAACGAACAATATGGTTTCAGAAAGGATTTATCTTGTACAGCGAACCTTTTTATAGTAAGGTAATGCTGGATAAAGGCGCTAGACAATAGAAGATCAGTGGATGCTGTCTACATAGTCTTCATTAAGGCATTTGACAAGGTGCCAACCAATAGTCTACTATTGAACTTGGAAAATCTTAGTATTGCCGGACCTCGTTTAAAATGGTTCAAGGATTTCTTAGTAGGTTGTAGACAGAAGGTACGAATAAATTCCTAGTGCCCCACCTGTAGACCAGTAAGTAGTGGAGTACCTCAATGTTCTGTCCTAGGTCCTTTACTTTTTAAACTGTATGTAAATGATTTCACAAGTATAGTAAAGTCCCAAATGTTGTTACATGCCGACGATGCAAAAATCTGAGGAGTAATAACGGGAGACGCAGATGAATGTACACTTCAGGCACACATAAATATTGTGATTAACTGGTCTAAAGGGTGGCTTATGACTATCAACACAGCAAAGTGTGTGTACATGCACTTTGGAGATACAAACGTTAATAGGTACAACGTAGCGGAAGTGCCTGTACCCGTGGTCCGGTCTCATAAGGATCTTGGGGTGACAGCGGCTCATGACCTTAAGATGACAGCCCATTGCCGGGGGGTCGCAGCTAAGGGGTTTAGAACCCTCTGGGCTTGAAAACGGACATTCACCAAGTTAGGCACCACCATGTTCACTACAATTTACACAACTTTAGTGAGAACTAAAATTGAGGATCGCGTTCAGGCTGCGAGCCCCTGTTTAAAAGGTGACTCGGATATCCTGGAAAATGTATAGAAAGCAGCTGCCAGCGCTATCCCAGGACTCCTCAGTTTACCATAAAAAGAGCGGCTTGAAAAGCTAGACCTCTTTACTCCGTCATATAGAAGACTAAGGGGAGATCTAACTTTGATGTATAGAATACAAAGAAATGATTTTGGACCGAACATATTCTCTCTTTTTCTTCCCAACAGATCGGGATATCTCAGAGGACATAGCAGAAAAGCCAAAAACGAAAAAAATACCCTTGTCATACGTGTTTTCACACCGAGTCATCAATACTTGCACCTTCAAATGACTCATTGAAGAGAAGACTGGATACTCACAGAAGCATACTAGGAAAGGAATAATATTGGCCATAGGCTTTCTGCCCATAATATACAAATCTGAATCTGAACTCTGGATCAGACAGTTTACGATTAGTGACACCAAATGACTGGAACCATGTCTTAACACCAAGAGTTAAGATAGAAATAGCTGATTGGTTTACGCTTACGCATTGTAGGTACATTGAATACGAATTGTTTAACCAAAGCACACAGCCGATCAAAATTACTCGGTGGTAATACAAATAGCATGGAAAGTGTGTTAAATGAACTTCGGGAGTTAGGTGAGCAATTCGCAACTCATGTCCAGCGTGTGAAGCTTCTAAAAAATGAGGAAGATGTTAGTTCCCTTAAAAAGGCGATATCCAGCCTAGAGAATGATCTTAAGCAACTTCGAATGTCCTATGAATGCCAGATAAATCACTTGAGTACTACTCTAAATATTGTACTGGACGAAAAAAGAGACTTGGAGAATGAAATTCTAGTAAGGAAAGAAAATGACGCTCATTTTCTGGATAGGTTCAGTTTTTTACGATTGGTATGTATTTTGCAGGATTTCAGTGGAATCGTCTAAAAATGCTAAACTTCTTCTGGAGATAAGTCATCTTAAAACTGACGTTGCCGAAAAAACTAATCAGATTACAGCGCTGAAAATGCATGTACAAGAGTTGGAGACACATGGGGAAGAGAAAGAGAACGTGAAATCGAAACTTACTGAGGAGATAAATTTTCTAAAGCAAAAGTACTGTTCTTTAATATTTATGTAGAATTAAAGACTTTCAATGTCCGAAGACCTATACACTGAGACTGCTAACCAGCTTCAAAGTGCATTGATGGCATTAAATTCTCAAAAACTGTTTGCGAAGGAGGTGAGTTATCTCCCGTTTGTTGTATTCTCCAATTTTCCAGTTTTGTATTTTTTTCTAAAACAAAATATTCTTGTTTTGTAGCGTCTTAGTCGCAGTCAAAACAGAATACAATGGTATATCTCTCAGTTCGCTGCAAAAGATTTCCAAGTTGAAGAATCTCGCAGAAAGGAAGCTTCCATTTCTACTGCCATCTCTCAACTGCGTGCCAAAGCCCAGGAGGAACTTATTCAGTACCGTCAGCAAGCTGCAGACATCTACAAGAAACCAGTAGGCTCTAGTTGATATTTTTATACCCTAGATTAACTCTTACTTTTACATAACTTTTAAAATAACTTGCCTGTTGCCTTTGTAGATAGCTACTTTGCAAAGTCAGTTGGTTTCGGAGAGAAGAGAAAATCGATTTTTGAAGACTAAATGTCTGAAGAATGATCAAACAATTCTTAACTTGCAGCGGCAAATTGCTGAATTGAATTCTAAAGTTTGTTGTTCAAAATACCTTTAATTTCTTAGGTTTACAGCACTGAACATCAAACTGAACTTTTGAAGAATGCTTTGGAAAGTTTGGGGAAGGAGCATAATCGCTTAAGAAGTACCTATGAGGATAAGATTCAGAGACTGGAGGCTTCTATAACCTCTAGTGCCGTTGACTTTGATTTAATGCGAAGTAAAGAGAATGAAGTTATGAAGGAATTATCAAAATTTAAAAGCATGTTGAATTTAGACGAAGAGAGTCTCCACACACGGATATATAACGAACAAATTAATCAAGTTATTGAGGAACTGGATGATGAGGAGAATTTTCAGCGTTTGGAAAATGACAAAAAGTGAGATATTTGTGTTAAACGTGGTCTTCTTCCATATTCTGACACCTCTCAATACGCAAGTTATTTTACCCAAGTAAATAAAGGAAACGTTTAGTGTTCTGTTTCGTTTTAAAGAAATTACTTGATGTATTATTAATAAGTAACCCTTTTTTATGATTTGACAGATTTGTTAATTCAACATCTTAAACACTAGTAATATATTTGAACTTTCGTGTTTTATGGAGCTGTAGACCCAATAAGTAATTACTGTATCTAACTGACTCTCAACAAGTAGATCATAGTTATGAAACATGTTTTTTATATTAATGTCATAAAAGGCAGTTAGGGATAATCCTTAAGTTTTGTGGTATATTCATTTGTTTTCTCTGGATAAAAACTCAGTCGGCCCTATCATAACTGGAGTAAAATACGAATATTATACTACATGCAGCAAAAAAAAGGTGCTCTCATTGTTTGCGCATCTTGCTCCTGCGTTCGATCTTCAATCACTTTATGTAGACAGCCGGGAATATATGTGTCTCGAGTGGAATTGTTTATCTTCTTAGGATCTTTTCTTCAAACTCAAAATTAGCCAAATCATTTGGTTTTATTGATGAAATATGTCATTAGTATTCTCAGTCTTTGAAAGCACTCTAATACAAGAAACTTGAGTTTGAAAAAATTACGTTAGGAATTTTGCTATTTATTATGAATCTCAGTTAATTCAAACAAATTTAAAAGCTTTTGTTTTTCAGAATCGAATTTGACAGAACATATGAACCGAGAGCTATCTCACATACGGATTGTGCCGTTCCATCAAAAGGTATACATTCTTTTGTGATGGCATCAAATGATGATCTACGCGACACTCCTCAGAATATTGATGTTGAGTTACAAAACTGTGATCAAGTAAACTTTGACACGAAGAAGTTTGGTCTAAGTTCTTCCAAAAATGCAATCATGGATACAAAAATCAATGCCTCAGTACCTGGTAGTCCAAATTCATCGATGTGCTTATCAGGATCCAAGTAAGAGTTTTTATTTTAGATACTCATTCACAAACAATTAATATTTGGATACAAAGATGAGTGATGGCTAGCAGTGGAATCCAGGAAGCGTGTTTCAGTTCCAGTCCTAGACATCAATGGGACGATTCAAACAACCAATGTAAAAATGAATTAAACTTTACCCCACTGCACAAGCCAGTGGCTTTCTGGACTCATTAGCTAAGTAGAAAACGCGGTAGTGTTTACAGCGAACGGTGAACACCAACTCTGATGTGTAAATGCATTCAGCTGACGAGTCCCAAACAGGACGAAACGCGCGTCCTAGATTCCACTGCTAGTGAACATCTGTATTTTCTTATAACGCTTGCGATTTAAGGCAATGTCGAATCATATGCACAAGGTGCACATATACCAATAAGAGACTGATCCATTGCAGTTCTGAACATCAATGGGAAGATGAATTACTATTTGGATGATTGATGGACGACTTGTTTTTCAAACTCTAACTATCATTACCGCATGATTCGCAACTAAACGTTGTAGTTATTCGTAATCAATATAATTTTGAATCTAAACAATTTGTTTTACAGTTTTATCTTTTCAGAATTTGAAATATAGTTTTCAGCGTAAGAGCTAGTTTTAAGCAATTAGTCTTTTTTAAAGTTTCGATTAAATAAAGATAAAACGTAGTTGATTTGAAAAATGTGATATATTTTCTCTATAAATTCCAAACAATCTAGTGATTCATATACGTTTTAAGTCATTTTGTATGGAAATTAGTCAACGTTAGGCAAAAGTTCAAATGAAAAGGAGTAACTAAAAAAAGGACGAGAAAATCAACTGCTTAATGACGATAATGATTTCGAAATGTTGCCAGTAAATTTTAAGTCGAGATTAAATCCGATACCGCTTTGAATGTACTCTATTGTTAAAAGTCAAAGATCATAGTGTTTTAGCAATACTTACGAGACAATTCATATATTTAACTATTCAGACCATTGAAAAAATTTGATACTGACTATTAAGAACGTTCAAAAATCTTTAATGTCATTTTCAAGGTATTTTGTGTTACACTTCTGAATTACACTAGTTAACTATCAGAGATGTAATGAAGAATAATTATAAGCTAAGTTTTTGATTTTTCAGTAGTTGAGATTGTGAGTCGGTTGAAGCTAGACCACCATGGAAAAGCTGGAAGCACTGGATGGCCGTTTCATCCTATTGTGCGACTCCCCAATAGTGCGGATCTACGATCCCGCCCCGCGAGATTCGAACTCAAGGCCTATCGGTCTCACGCGAGAACGCTTTACCTCTAAACCACTGAGCAAACTGGCATCCAACTGTGTTAATGTTTAACTTTAAGTAGTCCACAGAATTGAGCCACTGTCCATAGTTGTGTTTAGTGAGTTACTGTCTCACAACAGACCCGTTTGAACCCCACTGGCTACTGCTTCTTTTTCTTGTTATCACAATTACACCTGTTCAAAACTGTGAAATAAAATAAATTTCCTATAGGGATAAGAATAACTTTGTCAATGAAGGTAGACAAATTTAATATGATAACTAAACTTGAAACATTATGTGAAACAAAACAAACAATCAATTAACGTAACACATGAATTTTTACATGAAACTACATTTTTAACAGTTGAATTCATGAATCAATCTAAACTAGACCATTGAAAACCTGTAAGCACTGGACGTTCATTTCGTCCTAGTATAGAACTCCTCATCAGTACTCATTCACGATCATGCACATGCGAACGCTCCACTTCTAAACCCCTGAATCGATATCCAATAGTGTTAACGTCTTACTTCAACCAATTCATGACCTGAATTTTGTTCTTATGTTAAAGTTCTTCATAGAAAATTTATTTCAACTTCTTGATTCAGTGTTAAATTAATGAAGATATTATTAAATTCAAATTGATATATACATAAGACCTCTGTATGAGAACTGTTATCATTCTAATTATTATGTTTACAGTATAACAGCTTAAGTTAGATGTTTTTCTTGTAGTGACTTAATATATCTGTATTCCTATTTCACTTTGTTCTCTTTTTTTTTGTTATTACAATTTTCTCCAAAAACAAACAAACAAACAGTAAGGGTAATCAGCACTTTTCTGTTCTTTAACAAAAAATAATATTCGTTTCTTATCGAATAATAATCAATATTGATTGAATTATTTTTGTTAAATGAGGACAAATTTTTTTTTATTGCTAACAAAGTATATTAAATCTTTCCTCTTGTAATTGACATGGTAGCAATTGTGAATGAAGCTATTTCAGTTCACTAATCACGTGAATAAAAGAATAATAATCCAGTTATTTTATATTTGTTAACCATTATCATATTTTCGAGTGTCATATTGATCTTTCTACCAAATTTAAAGTTTTTTTTTAAGATTGAAACTAATAACATAGCCCCCTGAATGTTCTGGTACGGTCGAAGGTAGAGAAAGTCAACTTTACCTCTCCAAATGATCTTACATGGTTATGTGTATATGGTTTTAGCCTTCTGGGGGTAGCGTTGTTGTTAACAAAATTGTGAGGGTGAAAAGTAAATGTCCAGTGCTTTATCCGGGTTGGTGGATATGAAAAAACCATCTGGGGGAGCTGGAAAACCCTGATTCCAAAGCAATGGTGCACATGGGCCCTAGAATCCTGAGGGAAAAATGGCTTATAAATCGATTGTTGACCACCGACTACCATGCGACTGTATCTTCTCACGTTGATCCACCACCATGTAGATTAGACCTTTTGTTCAATAGCTCCTTATGTAGCCTCCTAAGAAAACCACCTGCTTCACTCTAGGCACCCGGGCAGTACCTCAGCCCTCACACATGTCGAATGATTTATGTGACGCATATCTATTTGGTGCCTCCTTGTACGAATGTTTGTGTGTTTAAATAAATAATAATAAATACCTCATTAACACAACAAGATGAACACCAAATTCATAGTTTTTACTTCAACGACAGTAATATATGAAAGAAAGATTGTTTATAAGAATATAATACAGGAAGAAAGAATTAGTTCGTAGAAAGATATGAAGTGATTTTAATCTCACGGTTTAAGAGAAGACAGGGAGTGTATACACCTACGCCATTGTGATCGATTCTGAGCCATGTCACACAGTCTCCAAACGAGTAGTCTGCATCTACCAAAATAGCTGAGACCAGAAGTTAGTGACTTCAAGCACTGATGCCACGTTTTGATTTGACCGCCCCTAACTTTCTTCTAACCATCCCGAACACCGGTTAACATTGCACGTCGTAGTAATCGGTGTTGAGGCATACGTAACACGTGGCCCAACCATCTTAGTCGGTGAAGATTTACAACCTGATCGACTGATTTACCATCAATCCCTAATACCCTGTGTCTAAGCACACTATTACTTACTCGGTGATCCCAGTAGATACGAGCAATATTGCTGTTTGTTTGTTTAAAACACATAAACATTGGTACAACGCATCACCAAATAGATATGCGCCACATAAATTGTTTGATTTATTTGAGGGCCAGGATACTGCCCGGGTACCCAGACCGAATCAGGTAGCAATATTTGTAAGACATCTGTGACGAAATACCGGTATCTCATGAGTATCTTTTACTTCTAATGGCCACATTTCGCAGCCGTAAATTAGAACAAAACGAACTGCTGCAGAATATACTCGTCGCTTAATTGATAAATGGATATCTCGCCATAGGTGAAATAATTTGGCAAAAGCCCAAACGAGTTTTCTGAATCCGTGCAGAGATTTCTTAAAGTCAAAATATCTTTTAAAGTATGAAGTTAAAGATAGTTTGTATTACGACATAGAATTATTTTCCAACATCTTTGAAATGCAAAAAAAATGATTGATAAGTTCTTCATATTAATTAAATATCAAAAAAGAAAAGACCTTTATCAGAAGGGATTTTGTAGAGATTTTGGTAATTTTAGAGTTGAATTCATGAGTCAATTGAAGCTACACCACCATGGAAAACCCCACAAAACCCTTTCTGATATTATTCAACATATGCTCACTAATGACTGGCTTCAAGAGGTATTTCCTGGAGTTATAGTGAGAAGCAGTGACCACTGGAGTTCAAGTGGGTCTGTTGTGAGATAGTAACTCACTGAACACAATGGTAGACAGTGGCTCGATTTCGTGGATTGGTTGAAGTTGAACATTAACACGATTGGATGCCGGCTTAGTGATCTAGAGGTTAAGCGTTCGCGTGCGAGACCGACAGGCCCTGGGTTCATATCCAACGGGGCAACATCGTGGATGCGCACTGCTGAGGAGTCCCACAATAGGATGAAACGGTCGTCTAGTGATTCCAGGTTTTCCATGTTGGTCTAGCTTTAATTGACTCAAGAATTCAACCATAAAATAAACTAATTAATTTCTTTTTTTTTACATGAAGTGCTATTGGATACTTACAAATTTGTGAAATTGATCCCAATGGTGAGTATTTACTTCTATGGAATTCAAGTACAAACAAGGTAAATTTATTCAACAAATATGATATAATGAGAAAGAACTTAATTTATTGGAATATGAGTTAAATAAAAGATCAATTTTTTTCTAAGTATTCATGACAGTTAATCAGACTTTGGGGGGGGGGATTTATTTCGTAATTTAGTAACTTAATTATATCTATTGGTCATAATCGTTTAATGTACTGATACTGTAAATTTGGTTTATATGGTGATTTACTCCTTGATTAATGTCAGTGAGTCGCTCTAAGCTTACTTACGTACGCCTGTTACTGCTCGTGGAGGAGCATAGGCCGCTCACCAGCACTCTCCATCCAACCTTGTCCTGAGCAATCCTTTACAGCTCTTTCCAGTTGTGTTGTTCATCATTTTCATATCTGATTCTACTTCCCGACGTAATGTGTTTTTTGAACTTTCTCTTTTCCGCTTCCCTTCAGAATTCCAAGTTAGGGCTAGCCTCGTGGTGCAGTTTGATGATTTGCGTAGTGTATGTTCTATCCACTTCCATCGTTTCTTCCTAATTTCCTCTTCAGCTGGAAACGGATTTGTTCTCCCTCAGAGAAGGCTGTTGCTGATGGTGTCTGGTCAATGAATGTTGAGTATCTTGCGTAGACAATCATTTATAAATACTTGTACCTCCTTGATGATGGTTGTGGTAGTTCTCCAAGTTTCAGCTCCGTACAGTAGAACTGTCTTGACGTTCGCATTGAAGATTTTGACTTTGATATTGGTTGACAGTTGTTTTGAATTCCATATGTTCTTCAATTGTAGGAATGCTATCTTTGCTTCCTCAATCATCGCCTTTACGTCTGCATTCGATCCTCCTTGTTCATCAATGATACTTCCTAGGTATGTGAAGGAGTCGATCTAAACTAGACCATTGAAAACCTGTAAACACCGGATGTCCATTTTGTTCTAGTAGGGTACTCCTCAACAATATGCATCCACAATCCCACACACGGAACTCGAGCTTGAATTGACTCATGAATTTAATCTCCAGAAATCTTCATTCTGATAATTATTACGTTATCTAAAAACTGACTATTAATCTATGTAAATAAATCACTCAAAATTTAGTGTATTCAGACATTATTTTGGTTTATTTTTGATGCATAATAAGTCCTTACCCATCGTCTTCATGTTTTAAACAACATTTTGCAATTCACAGTTTCCGGTAATAAGTACCAGCTCTCAGCCGCTATCACACAGAACAATATGATGTATTGGCTAAGTTAATGAGTCACAACTAAGGATTAGAACTAAATGGTATTATTTTAGTTTGAAAATTTAAAAGATACACTGATTTTGGTGTATTCATTCCTCTCAATACTATCTGATCAAAACATAGAGCTAGGTCTCACTACAAAGAACTATTAAAAACCAGAAGGTACTGGAGAACTTTTTGACCCTAGTTTTGGAGGGCTTTTACATAAGCCATCACTTATAAAGAATATGTCTATATTGAACAGTATTATCGAGGTTACTTTAAGTCGTGGGTGGTATTCTTTCATAAATTGACACCGATTCGAGTACTATTAATTTACAGTGAAGACCAGGCAGGCATTTCATCTCAAGTCGGGTTAGCTGTAAGCAGCCATGATCCCGTTGAGGACCGAACCTAAGACGTTCAGGTCTTTCAGCTAGCGCATTACGTTAGTACATATTTCTAACAGTAAACAACTTATGCTAAAGAGCAGAGATAATCCAATCCTATCATTGATGATTTTTTCACTGGTAATATAACTTCAAGATAAGTTCCTAAAATTATTTTGGGAAATCATAACCAGAAGAGTTCAACCATATGAAGAAAAAGACTGTTATTTCTAATCATATTAGGTTGTTTATTTGTCATTCTCATGAATTATCTGAAGTTCAAAATGTGTGCAGTAGAATTAAAAATCAATGTTTCAAAGACAACACTTACTGCGCGACATGAAATTCGTAGTCTCCATCCCTGACGATTGCTATAGTCTTTCGCTGTTGATGAGTCACATAGTTGAGTTACTACATTTGCTAACCTTATTGATCGTATATACCTAGTACATATTAGCCAATCATTCACACATTCGTATAATATTCAAGAAGATTATTACCATTAAAAACACAACTTCAGTAGTTCGGTTACTTTATATTGGTATACACATCGAGTACGTGGTTGAACGAAATTACAAATTGAGGTCAAGCCAATGAAGATTATGTAATAACAGTTGTTTAGTATACTTTGCCTCTGCATCAGTAAGCCTCAATATTCACAAAGGAAAAACCAAGATCCTCAAATACAACACGGTGAACACTAACCTAATCACACTTAATGGAGAAACTCTGGAAGATGTGGAAACCTTCACATACCTAGGAAGTATCATTGATGAACAAGGAGGATCGAATGCAGACGTAAAGGCGATGATTGGGGAAGCAAAGATAGCATTCCTACAATTGAAGAACATATGGAATTCAAAACAACTGTCAACCAATATCAAAGTCAAAATCTTCAATGCGAACGTCAAGACAGTTCTACTGTACGGAGCTGAAACTTGGAGAACTACCACAACCATCATCAAGGAGGTACAAGTATTTATAAATGATTGTCTACGCAAGATACTCAACATTCATTGACCAGACACCATCAGCAACAGCCTTCTCTGAGGGAGAACAAATCCGTTTCCAGCTGAAGAGGAAATTAGGAAGAAACGATGGAAGTGGATAGAACATACACTACGCAAATCATCAAACTGCACCACGAGGCTAGCCCTAACTTGGAATTCTGAAGGGAAGCGGAAAAGAGAAAGTTCAAAAAACACATTACGTCGGGAAGTAGAATCAGATATGAAAATGATGAACAACACAACTGGAAAGAGCTGTAAAGGATTGCTCAGGACAAGGTTGGATGGAGAGTGCTGGTGAGCGGCCTATGCTCCTCCACGAGCAGTAACAGGCGTATCAGTATCAAATCCTTTTTTTAGAAATACTCTATAGTTCTCCTTTGTTTTAAGTGATTGTCTAGTTCGAGTCAATCCATGATGTTAACTTTAAAATTCAATAATTTCTACAAAGCATTTAATATTGAAAATAATGATGGTATTGTAATATGGCGTCGAGTCGCGTTTGACTATGATAACCGCTACAGGAAGACTACGGGCCAGTTAACCGATAAGACCCCTTGTAGGCCAAATATCAGAAGACATTTGATGGCTTTAGTCGAGATGTATTTGTTAGCGATCTCGTGGTATCGAAAGAATACCGAGATCGTGCCAGTTTATAAGTGTGGTTACTGAGCGTGACCGAATTCATGCAAGGTCACAATCAACGGAAGAATGTATGTATTTTGGTACAGTTAAACAAACAAGTACAGTAAAACAATCCCTGGTACAATTGGTTATAATAATTGTTTTCATTACGCTAATCGCGTTCTCTTGATAAAAGTAGGTCACTACAATATAATTGTTAGTGACTAATTTCGAGGAGTAATTCCTGGAGGTTTAGTGGAAATCTGTAACCACTGGGAGCAATTGATCACTGACATTATTAAATAGTGGTTACATAAATTACAGATTGACGTAAGTTAGGAATGTCAGCCATCTGATGGTTAAGCGCTTGTTGTATCTTGTATTTTGACTTCACAAAAGAACAATTTCATGTGTCGTTATGTAAATGATCCATCTTCGTCAATTGATATTTATTTGAACTTTAACTCCAAATCTTTTTGATCGTACGTTGTTTACAAAAACGATTACTTAATTTGGTCTGCTCTATACTAAATTAACAGTGAACTCAACTGTGATCATTTATCTTCTTTCAGGAAACAGATAACTTTTCCTTCGTTTGGTTTTCTAAAATTGACCTAATTTGCATATAATATGAAGTTGTCTACTTCGAAGTGCAACATAGTAGCAGGTTGTAGTAATATATACATGGAAAGTTCGAAACAAGACATTTTATTCCATCAAGTTATAAGCTCTTGGTTTAAGCTGTGTTGGTATGTGCAGTCCTTTTGATTGGGGCTGAAGTGATACTTATTATCAGTGATCGGATATGTCGTGTGACATGGTGGGAAATTTGTTGCGGTGATATAGTTTCATTCATTTTCTAGCCTCCTTTAAATGTTAATTTGTACACCATTGTTGTTCTTGTAATTTTTAAGTCCATTGATTTCATTCTGACCGTTTTCCTCATGTTCAGATTTTCACTCCGGTTGAAATCAATTGTTATTCTTCGATTCTAGTTTTGATAATTCCCTTCCTCTCTGTAGTTATGTGTGGTCAATTGGTAGTATGTAGTCTACATCCTTTTTTTTAAAAAAAAAAACGATAAGTTCAGTGGTCAATGGACCGCTTTCACGTCCTTGTTTAGCTATTTCTGCTTTGTTTCAACTTAATCATATACTGAACAACATCGCCATTTGAAGTAAGAGATGGTGGGCAATACATAGTACATGTTGCAACCAACTCAGATGATAGAGATTCACTAGCTTGTCAATGGACTTACAATATTTACATTGTGTCAGTTTCGAACTTCAACATTACTCACTCCGTAGTCTAAAACTACACGAGCCGTGCGTCGAATACACCTATGATCAAATACTAATAACTTGTGAATATCATCGATTCTCAATGGTCATGTTTCACACAGAACAAACTACTGCACAATAAACTCATTCTTTGATTAGTAAACAGATATCTCACCGACGCTACAAATAATCCAAACCAACAAAGATCAATTGAACTTTCGGAATCTGTGTTGAGACTTTGTAAGACCCCAGCCTATCAAGACAAATGAGACTCAAGATAAGTGGAGCCGTTGACGCAATCTAGTTTCATTCCTTATTATTAACTCAAGTGATGATGAAGACGATTTCTGAAGCAATATTTTACATTCGGAGGAAAAGAATTACACGCCAAAAATACCTGTGTCGTTTAGAAGACTACGCAAATTGTCAGTCTTCACCAAAATTGAGCTATTCTAAGACAACACATGAGTCTTATGCTAGGGAATTAACACCTAAATAGTCAGACAATAAGTGGGTTATCAGTAAAACATTGTCTATGACGAAGTGTAAACTTTAACATATAAGTACTTACATCAGGTTGTACATTAATGAAATGACTAGCTAATTGATTATTTTAAATATTCGTTTATCAACTACAATCAAACAATGTATGTTCATTGATTAGTAACACATTATTGATTTTGTATTCCGTTTTTACTATAGTCAATCTGATTATACTTGATCATTTGTCTAATGGTTTGTTGGTAAAGGTTCACAAGTCGATGTATTCTACAAGTTTATCATAATTAAATACTTCAATATAATCTGAATACAATAGTTGGAATCATAAGTCGATTAAAGCTAGACCACCACAGAAAACCTGGAAGCACTGGACGGCCGTTTTTTCCTAGTATAGAGCTCCTCAGAAGTGCGCATCCACGATCCCGCCTCGCGAGATTCGAACCCGGGGCCTATCAGTCTCTCACACGAGCGCTACTTAGGAGTCCCATACTAGGACGAAACGGTCGTCCAGTGCCTCCAGGTTCTCCATGGTGGTTTAGCTTTAATAGACTAATGATCTTAACCATTAAAGTTACCAAAATCTCCTTAAAACCTCTTCTGACATTCTGATTCGTAACCAAATCCCTATTTACTTGTTAATTAGTTTATTTATTTATACCTAAAGGAAATTGATATTGGATTACATAAAGTTTGTCAAAAACATATTCAAGAGAAAATTAATGAATATACATTTCCAGCTGATGTTCGAATGTCACCACGAACTGTATTTACTTTATGGTCGAATAATGCCATTATACCAAAGAATATTCATAATACAAAAAATGTATTCCGATGTCCAAATATTTGTAAATGGTTCAATGGTCCAAATTATATAACTATGGTATCAAATTCTCGTGATGAGGTATTTATTATTGTTTCTTATCTCAACACTTTATTTTTATTTTTTTATTTTTAACGTTTACTGTTATCTAAACTATACTTTCCTCCTCAGTTGTTAGTTATCAGTATAGGGGTTGTGGAGATTATTAAGTTTTTGATTGAGATCATGAGCCGATTGATGTTAGACCACCGTTGAAAACCTGGAAGAACTGGACGGCCGTTCCGTCCTATTGTGTGACTCCTCAGTAGTGCGTATCCACGATCCCGCTCGTGGCATTCGAACCCAGGGCCTTCAGTCTCGCGCGCGAACGCTTAACCACCAGATCACTGAGTCGGTATCCAATGGTGTTGGTGTCTAACATCAACCAATCCACGAAATTGCGCGACCATCTTCCATTGTACTGAGGTAGATGCCTGTCTCTACCCGACACGGACTAGCTCCACTGGTCACGGCTTCTCACTAGAACTCCGAGAATTCCCTCACGAAGCTAGTCACTAGTAAGCACATCTTTCAATGTTGCTTTGCTACCTTTTAGATTAGATCTCTAGATGAAAGGCTCCGAGTGTGTCTCCCTAGGAAAACCACTTGCTTCTGATTGGGTGCCCGATCAGTGTTCCAGCCCTCACGCAGATCGGATGGCGAAGTGTGGTGCATATATATTTGGTGCCTCCTTGTACCTATGTTTATGTGTTCAAATAAATAAATAAACTTCGTTATAATCTAGTCTGTTCATTCCTACTAGTAGCATTAAAACCTCTAGTGTTCTAGTGATCATTTTGAAGAACCTATAATTTGTTGGGGGAATATAAGACACAGTTCCAAGAATGATATTATTTACATAAAATATGGTTTATAAACAGATTGAATGCAACGCGTACGTCCTTTCAGTTAGTTTCTCAGTGCAATTTAATACTTGTATTTAGGTTTCATAAATGTATCATGAAATGCCAGTTTTACTGAATTCTTCAGGATCGATCATTATACGGAAAATATTTTACATCAAGGATTAATATCTATTGGAGAACCAGTCAAATTCAGTGTACACTGATTGACTATTTTGTCTGACGTCATGATCAGCCAGTTGTAGTCAATTTAGATTCTGTTATGTGCTTACTGGTTCAAGTTGCTCCATAAAATCAGCAAAGAGAGATGAAATTCACAAGATGAATGCTTAGATATTAATGATAGCAAATAACATAAGGGATGCAAAATACATTTGAGAAGAATGAATGAGTTTGATAAAGAAACAGTGTACAGTAATTTTCAACTTATGGTCTAAGGAAAGACAAAATTAAATACTTATGCAACACTATGACTGATTCTGAGCCATATCACTCACTGTTCTCAGCCAGTCGTCACGACAGTTGCTCAGACCGCAATCAGATAATGAGTATCTAACAACACGGCTCAGTTCAACAGCAAACGACTTCATAGACTAATGTCATGTCTAGCTTTCATTCAACCTACTCATATACTTAAGTAAGCAGTTGTCAAGCCTACTTAAAACATATGTTCCAATCACTTCAATGGTTCATATTCCACTACTTCACCTTTACCTATTATTCTGTGTCTAACATCAATATTGCTTACTCAGCAGTCAGATACTAGTTTTATACCGATTTTCTCTACTTATAAGACTGCTCTCTGCAATTATAAACTGTTGTACAGTATACCCGTCCCTTGGTTGGTAGACGGGCATTTTGCTTAGGTTACAAGAAATGCAAGTTGTGAAAAGTCAAATTAAATTTCTTCAGATACCAAACTACCAAGGCTAATGATATTTTCAAGACGAGTGGTCAACGCGCTCAAATACTTCAGTCACTTTGATCAAACTACACATAGAACGAGATCAGCCCTGACGAAACATCTTACGTTTAGGAGAATGGAAATATGCTGGGATTGTTGATCAAGAAAACCAGGTGACTTCATTTTTCCACTGTCTTCACCCAGTACAACTATATCGTTTTGGAACTCTAGGCTAATATGTGAATCTCATGATAAAAGATCAGATATGGAGAAGCGAAATTAAGAATGTCTTGTCTTTAAAATAAAGTCTGTGGTAAAGTTAAATGAAAGTGGGATTATTAAGCAGTCATGATGAACACCGCTTAAAGTTGCCGATTCTGATTAAATTTGGCCATAAACTCTGACGTGGTCAACAATGTTCAAGTTATAGTAGGAAATGCTGACATCTGTAGTTAACCCATAGAAAAATTACTCAGTTATTAACTGATCACATCGGAAAAAGATCTGATTGTATCTCAAATTGGCAACTTATAGGTTCGAACAACTTTCACTTCATTGGTTTACTAGTCCCATGCTAATTAAAAGATCTAGAGATTTTATATCAGATTATTATGTCTCAGAACTACAGTAATACGAATTTCTAGTAGTTCCTCATTTTTAAAGTTCTCCGGCTGACTAAATGGTCCCTACAAATCGTATGATTAGTTACTCCTGCATACAATTGAGTAGAATAAAACGTAAATTAAAGTTGGTTTAAAGTACTTTGCCATGTAAGAACTCAAAATTTCGATACACTGAGCACCATATTTGTAACAAGTGAATAACTTATAAGCACCTAATCATTACACGCAACATACAATAATGGTCAATCTATTACTTACATACGCTTGTTCCCTTCGTGGAGGAGCATAAGCCGCTCATCAGCATTCTCCATCCAACTCTATCTTGGACAATTCTTTTCAGTTGCTATTCAACCTTTTCATGTTTACATCCAATTAACAAGAGTTATTAATAATACCTTGTTAAAAATAGATGATAAATACAAAGTTAAGTCAGTAAGCAGTAAATAGAATGAATATGTAGTAAAGAATTGTTTGAATTAAAATGAGTTAAAAAATGAACTGAATCGAAGATTTAATCAGGTATTCAGTTAATAACGCGGAAACCAGACAAAATAAGACAATAGGAAAAATAAGCTTTTTTAATATGTTGAAGAAAAGTTTGAAAGATCATTTGATCATAAAGAAAGAAATTGTACGAACTTCAATATGAACGTCAAGTAAGTTCTGCTGTATGAATCTGAAACTTGGAGAACTACTATAACCATAATCGAAAAAATACAAATATTTATTAACACACAAGATACTCAATATCCGTTAGTTGGTTACCATCATCAACAACTTACTGTGGGAGAGGACAAACCAGCTTCCATCTGAAAAGGAAATTAGAAAAAACGTTGGAAAAGAATAGGACCTACACTATAGAAAGCATAAGCCCTAACTTAGAATCTTAAAGGCAAAAGGAAAAGGCCAACGAACACATTACCTTGGGAATTGGAAGCAGACATGAAAAGGATGAATAGCAACTGGAAAGGACTGTCCACGACAGAGTTGGATGGAGAATGCTGGTGGGCAGCCTATGCTCCTCGACGAGGGGTAACAGGTGTAAGTATATATATATTACATTTCAGCAAAAGATAAACGACATTCAGAACAGAATAGTGGGGCTTACTTTTTCCATTGCAATAGAACGTCAAACATAATGGATATTGCTTAAAGGAATGAAGGAGATCGAAGAAAGTAAAGAATAAAATGATGAAAAAAGTCATGATTAGTAGAGTGATAATGAATAAATTCAGCTGCATGATTAGAGTTAACAATGAAACATCTTACTGGAAATCTCCAACCATAGGTTACGATTATCTTGAAGACTAAAATCGGGAAGCATACACAGTTCATTAGTTCGTTAGTCAGTAACTTTATGAATTTTCTTTTGAATATCTCTAGCTTTCTTCTAAACTATATTTATATTCACTGACTGATCATTTGATATATTCATCTGCTTAATATAGATATTGCTTATTGTTGTTAACGAATCATCTTTTGAATATGATAGAGACTTCTAAAATGAAACATCTAAACTATATGAATTTGTTGTTTTAACAAACCACACTAGCCATCAATATTCTGTATTAAGTTAAGTGTAAGCATCATCCTGCTAAAATAGTTCATTTCATTATTCAGGTAGCTAGTTTTCATATAAATGTACATTATCTTGATAGTTTGGCAATAACATATTTCTGTGAGGTTTTTAATCAACGTCTATCTCCTTCAGTTTATGTGTCATTATATGTAGATGTGGACTCCGCCTGGAGCCCCTCTGGGGCTACTGCGGGTCGCAAGACTGAATAAAGGAGGAGGGTTGGGTATGGAGTTAGCGACCCGTAGAAGAATAACTCGCTAAAAAACGCAAACCAGAGAAAAGAATTCAAACAGTTTAAACTCTACCCTGGGAGTTATGAGGTCTTCATTTAGAAGTGTTATGACGCCTCATGGTGAAAGTCAAGTTCCTTCGGAAGTCAAGAGGCTTTTACCTCTTCTAACAACCAGAGCAACCATTAATTTAGGTACATGGAGTACATTTACAATGTAGGAGATCGGAAGAGTCATCCAAATTGTTGGAGAAATGAAAAAATACAACTTAGAGTTGCTTTGAATCAGTAAAACACATTAAACGCAGGTTGGACAACAAAGACTAGCTTCAGGGGAGTCGCTGTTATACTCCGGCCATAAAGAAGAAAATGCTTCACATACACATATGTAAATGTGACTCAGATCATCTTAGGCTTTTATTGCTAGCAAAGAAGTAAACTCGGTAGTAACTGTATTAAGATGAGTAAGCAAATATTCTACTATTTATAAATCTAAGTCATTACCTCCTTTAGATATAGATTTCAACTAGATTGTGTAACTGGTAAAACAGTCAGTTAAAAATAGTATTTCTGTGAAGAAATATGAATTGATATTGTCCAGATCTATTATATTCTCAGTGAAATAGAGTAGCTCAGTAGTATTTCATTGGCACCACTGATGCTAATTATTTGAATCATATTTATCTAAACTTTATTAGAATAATCGTAAACTATGATTAGCTCTTGAAAACAGATTTGGTTTGTACTCTAATAACTGGATTTGTGTATTGTATCATAAATTTTCTTTTGATTTTTATAGATTTTAGCTTGGCTTACACCATCTGCACGATGTTTTACGAGTCGCAATGAACGAGAAAATTCTCTGCAGAATTGTAATTCATCCGGAATTCAATATGCATTAAATCTTAATCGTGATCCGCTAATGATAACAAGGTAAGAGTGAATATGTTGTTTTTTTGCAAATGCCTCTGTAAAATTCAATACTGAAGTCTAGTTGGTTTAGGTTTATGGGTCAAACTTCCTCAATCATGATTCAATATTTTCAACACTTATCATTAAGGTGTAACTAACGCTGTTTGAGTTGGATAGTGAATGCTGGTGGGCGGTCTATGCTCCTCCACGAGGTGTAACATGCGTAAGTAAGTAAGTAAGTAAGTAAAGTAAAGTAACGATGCTTGTACAACAACATTGAACGTATCGGTAAATGTATGGCTTCCTGTATGTTTTGAGGCATGCAAAGATTATTAGGTCGTATACTATATTTCCATGTATTTTGGCGCAATAACTCATTTTCCAAAATACCATTACTATTATTATTTCACATGTCTTACTGAATAATGAAAGAAAGATTTATTAACATTATCAAAGTAAAAGTAATACAGTTTGTAATAAAGGCAATCAAAAATAGATTCATTTGTAGAATGATTGTTCTAGATTTTTAATTTCTCCATTTACAAATCCTGAGTAATGTTCCACTTTGTACAGTGAAGCGCCGACAGGTAAATTACCAAGTTTATTACAACACGCGTTTAAAGCGATGCCAGTTAATGTTTCGGAATGATACGAACTAGTAACAGTTCCAGTTGAACTGGAACTCTAACAAGACGTAAATAGCAACTCGATTTCAAAATACGTCAGATGGGGTTGTATTGTTTTTTTAGTGAACAAGAACACAAGTGAGGGCAATTGAATGTATTCAAACACAAACTTACAGCACATGTAAGCGAAATCCGAGAACCATACAGTAACGACAATTGATTGATCACTAGGTGGTGATCAATGTCATGTTTGTCAAGTCCTTCTTAGTGTAGATCGAATACCATCGAACAGGTTGCAATGTAGCCACTAGTTCAAGTGACTCGATATTGTGTGCACTATGTTGAGATAAGATGGTGGTTGGAGGTAGTCAACAGGAAACCCTGGACCCAAGTTTCGTGCTATTTGGCACTCGTCATTAAGGTGTACCTGTAATGTTGAGGGAACTGGTGCACCCTGACGGGTTCGATTCCGTGTCACCCAGCTTCACGTTCAGAGACGTTACCACTGGGTTATCCGTTCCGCGACTGACCTCCTGTAGGACTGAGATGTAATCACAATTAATTGATCACTGGGTGGTGATCAATGTCATGTGTGTCAAGTCCTTCTATTTTGGTTTAGTTTTTCTATGATCATTTTGCAGGAGGAAAAAAGTTTCTTTTTTAAAGTCAGTATATATGACGCTGATCTTCTAAATCCTACTTATTTATCTTTCATTTCAAAATACTATTCTTGTTATTATTTGAACACCTAAACATTGGTACAAGGGGGCACCAAATATGTATGTGCCACACAACAACAATGTGATCAGTAGTAGTTGTCATTGGTTTATGTGAGAGCTGTAGTGCTGCCCGGACGCCCAAACCAAAGCAGGTGGTTCTGTTTGAGGGGGAGCATGTCCGGAGCCTTTAACCTGAATATCTAATCCACAAGACAATAGAGCAACTTTAGTACATGCAGTTCCATGGTAGCCGGTGACCAACAATAGGTTCATACGCCTTTTGTTCCTTCAGGATCATGAAGCCCATGTGAACCATTAGTTTGCAATCAGGATTTTCCAACTCCCAACTCTTTCATATCTGTCAACCTGGTTAATGCGTCGAATATTCTCTTTTCATCCTCTCAATTTCGTAAAGAATAGTAATGTCTCGAGACGTCAGTGAGTTGGACAGTGGCTGTATACGCGTGTCCATGCGAGAGCATTTCGAGAGAGAGAGCGCCGACTCTCCCCACTCTCGGCCGTACCAAGTCATGTTATGACCACACCATTTAGTGATCTACTCACAGAACATTGAACATTAAGATTTCGAGTATGCATTTTGTTTGACTCAAGAACTAACAATTGATATATGACTTATTAAATCAATGTTGCCTATTCTTTTTACTTCACGTTACAAACTTACTTGAGAATATAGTTTACTAAATGGTTCTAGACAACTATTTGAATCTCATATACTACTGATAAACCTTTAAATAAATAAATAAATATATCAGATGGGTATTTGTGGAGATTGTAGTAATTTCAATGGTTAAGATCATGAGTCAGTTGCAGCTAGAACACTATGAATAACCTGAAAGCACTGGACGGTCGATTCGTCCTATTGTGGAACTTCTCGACAGTGCGCATCCACCATCCCGCTTTCATGACTCAAGAGGTATTACCTGGAGTTCCATTGATAAGCCGTAACCAATGGAGTTCAACCGAGTCTGTTATGAGATAGTAACTCATTGAAGACAATGGTGGATGTGTCGCTCAATTTTGTGGATTAGTTGAAGTTAGATAATAACACCGTTGAATGCCAGCTTAGTGGTGTATAAGTTAAACGCTCGCGCATGAGACCGATGGGTCACAGGTTGAAATCTCGCGAGGTGGAATCGTGGATACACACTGCTGAAGAGTCCTATGCCAGGACGAAATGGCCGTCTAATGCTTGCAAGTTAATCATGATGGTCTAGCTTCAATTAACTCATGATCTCAACTATGATTTATTTCAAAATTTCTACTTTGTATTTTCTTTTTCTTCTATGATTTCTTCCTTCTTTTTCTCTCGTTTATTTCTTATAGACAAAAGTCAAATAATAATAAATTATCATCATCATCAGCTAATCAATCGTATCATCAGAATTCTACTGATTTCTCATTGAATGAAATAGAAATTGATGAAATGAATCAAGTTAAATTATGTAAAAATTTAACACAAATAAATTTGAATGAATTAAATAAACAATATACTACTGAAATAATAAATAATAATAATAATTACGATATTCTATCAATGATTAAAAGAATTAATAATAATAATAATAATAATAATAATGGCAATTTATTAAAAATGAAAAATTTAATTTCACTTAATCCTTCATATAATTCACAAAAATCTATGTTGAATAATAACAACAATCTAAAGGTGATTACGGTTCATTAATTATTATTATTATTATTATTATTATATTATTGTTATTACTACTATTATTATCATTAGTATTATTACTTTATTATTATTATTACTATTATTCTGATTACTATTATTATTATTGCTGTCATTATTATTACTATTATTGGTTATATTAATATTACTATTATTATTATTATCATTACCATTAGTATTACTACTTTATTATTATTATCACTACTGTTATTACTACTTTATTATTATTATTATTATTATTACTGTTACTATTGTTATTATTACTATTAGTAATATTACTATTACTATTATTATTACCATTAGTATTATTACTATACTATTATTATCACAATTGTTATTATGAATTTATTATTATTATTACCATTAGTATTATTACTTTATTATTATTACTGTTATTATTATAATATTATTATTATACATTCTATTCCCGTGACTATTGTAACCAATGGTTGTAGACTCTGTGTGACATAGCTCAAAATCGATTACAATGACATAGGTGTATACACTCTTTGTCTTCCCTTAAATAATGAAAATATAATCGTTTCATATATTTCTTTCCATGAACTAATTCTTTCTTTCTGTACTATTATGGTATGTGCTACTTATATTGACATAAGTAGTAGATGATGTTAGTAGTGAACAGAATGTCTGGCAGCAGAGAGACAAGAAAATAGAACAGTAAAGAGTGGAAACAATATGCAATTTGTATGAATATGCAAGAACAATGAAGTCTGAGTTATTATGATACAATTGATGGGCATTTTACAAATTAAGCATTTACTTTATGATTGTTAGATTTTATTAACAAGTTCTGTAATTCTGTATTAGATACATTGGATTGTTTCCACTGGTGTTCTTGTTCACTACACTATATCTTCATATGCAATCTTTCTTTTATATATTACCACCATTGAAGTGAATACTTTTATGAATTCGGTGTTCATTTTGTTGTGTTAATGAGGTATGGCTCTTTTGTAACTTGTACAACGAATGGTTGTACACTTTTTCAGAAACGAACCTGGATAGGTTATGTGATTAATAGCCATAATGATTTATTAAACAAACAATATTATATAACTTGTTGAAATATCTAGATGGCAAGAACAGGTAGCTCGGATGTTCAATTAGGCTTCCATATAGTTGACAAATTTTTTCGGCATCAATTTAGTCAAAATGGATAAATTTCACTCAATTGATTGTTTATTAATTAATGAAAATTCTGGAGAAACTTGTATAATAATGTCAGTTTTAGATGGTAAAACACAAAAAAATATTGATAAAAGTATGAATATGTAAAATAGATTAAAAAGGGATAAATAAGTAATGAATTATAGTAGAGTTTAGACAAGGTCGGCCACGTGTTACACATGCCTGAACACCGATAACCATGATGCGCAATGCTGAATGGTGTTCGAGACGGCTGGGAAAATGTTAAGGGTGGCCAAACCAAATGGTGGCATCAGGGCTTGAAGTCACTAACTTCTAGTCTTAGCCATGTTGGTAGATGCAGACTACTTGGTTGGGGTCCATGTGACTAATGTAACCAATGGTTGGGAACTCTGTGTGACAAAACAGAATCGATTACAATGGCGTCGGTGTATACACTGTCTATCTTCTCTTAAACCGGGAGATTAAAATTACTTTTTATCTTTCTTTCTTCCTGTTTTATATCCATATACACAATCTTTCCTTTATGTATTACTGCCATTGAAGTAACTACTTCTATACGTTTCATGTTCATCTTGTGTGGTAACTTGAACCGATGCATATATGTGCCAGGTCCTACGTTGTTGCTAACTGACTGACTTAAACAAATTTAAGCGTTCTTAGTTACTTTAAACGTCAATATTGTAATGATGACTAGTATTGAATTTTAGTGAGAAATGCCTAAGAGAGACCCAAACACTTCAATATCCAATACTCATTAGCCAAGTTAAAGAAAAGATTGTTGAAAATACAAGATAAAACACTGGTGTTAGGCAGTGAAATAATGTGAATTACATCAACCTGTGGTTTTATCTAACTTAGCTTGATATTTTTAGCTGATACTTTAACTTGAATAATGCGTCATCATCATCACCCGTGGACCGTCCTCACATATGTGATTGCACAAATAAAAGTTTTAAAAAAATATATTTATATCGGTTATAAATACTTACAAATCAGGGTCAGTCAGTCAGCTACAACGTTGGACCAGGCACATATATGCATCCGTCCAAGTTTCCATACCTCATTAACACAACAAGATGAACACTGAATTCATAGAAGTAGTCACTTCAATGATGGTAATATATAAAAGAGGACATAGTACAGGAAGAAAGAAGTAGTTCATAAAAAGAAATATATGAAGCGATTTTAATCTCACGGTTTGTGGGAAGATAGACAGTATATACGCCGACGTCATTGTAATCGATTCCGAGCCATGTCACACAGAGTCTCCAACCATTGGTTACAATAGTCAAGTAGACCCCAACCAAGTAATCTGCATCTTTCAAAATGGTTCAGTTTAGAAGTTATTGACTTCAAGCACTAATGTCACATTTTGGTTTGGCCACCCCTTAATATCTTCCAACCATTCACATCACTAATCAGCATTGCGCGTCGTGGTAATTAGTGTTGGGATATACGTAATATGTGGCTTAACTATTTCAGTCGATGAAGATTCACAACCTCATCAACTGATTTACCATCATTCCCTAATACCTTGCGTCTAACCTCACTATTACTTACCCAATAATCCCAGCAGATGCCAGCAATATTTCTAAGACATCTGTGGTCAAATACAAGTAGCTTACGAGTATCTTCTACTCTTAAAGGTCATGTTTCGCTGCCGTAAATTAAAACAGAACGGACTGTCGCGCAGTATGCTCGTCCTTTTATTGATAGACGGATATCTCGCCTTCCCTAAAGGTGACGTAATTTGGCAAAAGCCAAACGAGCTTTTCGAATCTGTGCTGAGATTTCGTCCGATACCAACTCATTAGGGCTGATCAGACTTCCAAGATAAGTGAAGTTGTCAACGCGTTCAACTACTTCACTCCCAATCCTTAGTGCAGTTGTTGACGCAGACCAATCCTGAAGGAAAAGCTTGCATTTAGAGGGTGAGAAACGCATTCTGAACGTCCTGGGTACTTCTCTTTAAACAATTATGTAATTTGCATCAGAGTTTACACGCTTTTACTTCATTAGAATAATACTAAACTTTTGATGTTATCAAAAGAAGTGATTTGGACAGATTTCTTTTATTGAAAACACTTCCGACAGATTTTTCTTTGTTTTTTGTGCATGAATGTTTATATTCTACAGAAAGATTCTTTTATGATTCAGTAATTACGAAACATATTAGTAGTATATATTCTTCTTTTCATTTCTACCAGATTCCTTACCCCTATAAACCAAACTCCAATTATTCACGTCAATTATCAAATGATGAAACTGATCAAAATACACATTAATTTACGAATACATTAAAGATAATGAGTTAATTTCAATGTAGGTTTCGTTTTTTTTATATTTCAAATGAAAACCACATGACAACAATGATGATAAAATAAACGAAATGTCTATTTTGTGTATGTGTGTGTGTGTGTAGTTTTTCTATGTACTTTCTTGAATTGATTCTTAAAATCAGTATTCTTTATCATCTTAATATTTTAACATAATGAAATAAATTGTCGTTTGGATATCATATATTTGATTCTAATATGCTAAAACTGTTACTTATATCGATTTAAGTAGTACATAATGCGAGTCAGGAACAGCCAAGTTTGAGATGATTGTTTAATATTTTGCAAATAATGTATGGTTGATAGCATTCGATCTGCACTTAGAAGGAGTTGACATACATGACATTGATCACTACCCAATGATCAATCAATTGTGATTACATCTCAGTCCTACAGGAGGTCGGTCGCGGCACGGATAACCCAATGGTAACGTCTCTGACTGTGAAGCTCGGTGACACGGAATCAAACCCGTTAGAGCGAATCAGTTCCCTCAAGATTACCTGTACACCTTGCTGAAAAGTGCCAAATAGCACGAAGCCCAGATCCAGGGTTTCCTGTTGACTACCTCCAACCACCATCTTATCTCAACATGGTGCACACAATGTCGAGTCACTTAGACTAGTGACCACATCGCAACTTGTTCGATAGCATTCGATCTGCACTAAGAAGGACTTGACAAACACACCAACCAGTTATCAATCACTTGTGATTACTGTATGGTTCTCAGATTTTACCTACATGTGCTGTAAGTTTGTTTTTTGATTACAATTGATGTTGAAAAATGTTAGTTTTACCCGATGATCTATGCGTAAGTATGAACTAAAACACTCGGTTTATTATTTTATGTAAATTCAAGATGCATCTGATATCGACAATCGCTTTGGACCCAAAAGGATGCATATGGATTTCCAGGCAAAAAATTAGTAGGTTGTTTGCTGTTTTAATTAGTTATATGTATTAGTGACTCCAAACAAATGATTCCTAATAACGGCTTACGAAACAGTGACTAATTATCTTTAATGCAGATTATTTGTAAAACGATTTTTAATTCTGAAGGCTTAACCGTCATGAAATGCAAGTATTTATACCTATAATCACGATTGATCTAACACGAGCTTGGTAATTGACCACACTGATAGGGATTTCTATTAAAGTGTGTTATTAATCAACCACAAGCATCTTCGAGATAATGTTGTTCAGGTTTCGTATCTCCTTAACGTTTTAGCGAGTTAGTTTCCTACGGGATGGGGTCGCTAACTTCATGTCCGACCCTCCTCCTTTACCCGGGCTTGGGACTGGCAGTAACTTTAGAAGGGCTAAAGGTAGAGTAAATCCCTTTACATGCCTGGGAATCATCATCGATGAACATGAAGGATAGGATGCAGACGTAAATGGGAGGATTGGGAAGACAAAGGCAGCATTTCTACAATTGAAGAACATATGGAACTCAAAACAAATTTCAACCATCAGCAAAGTCACAATCTTCGATACGAACGTAAAAATAGCCCTACTGTTTGGAGCTGAAACTTGGAGAACTGCCACAGCCTTCATCAAAATAGCGCAAGTATTTATAAACATTTGTCTACACAAGATACTGAATGTCCGTCGACCGGATACCATCAGTAACTGTCTACTGTGGGAGAGAACAAATCAGCTTCCAGCTGAAGAGGAAATTAGGTAAAGATGATGGAAGTTGATAGGACACACATTACGGATATCAATAAACTGCATCATGAGGCAAGCGCTAACTTGGGATTCCGGAGAGAAACATAAAAGAGGAAGGTCAAAAACTGATGCGTTGAGAATCGAATGCAGACATGTAAATGATGGATAGCAACGGGAAAGGATTTTTCAGGATACACTTGAATGGAATATTCTGGAAAGTGACTTATGCTCCTCGAGTTGCAACAGACGCAAGAACGTAAAATCTAAAGTTTACTATATCATGGTATGGTAGATAGTTCCATCGATTTTAAACGTTTTAAAAATGAAATACTACCGATTTTCACTTGGTTAATCATGAATCACGTGTTGTCTGTCACTGTAATCTAAGCTTTGTACAAAATAATCATTTTATCTTAATTTCGATTGTTGGGCTCATGGCTATCAGTATATCATACTTTTGCTGTAAGGATCAGAGCGGTAGAACACCATGCAGCCGCACGAATAAGTTAAAAATTTACCGAATTCCATCGAATTGTTTACTACAAATTCTACCTTTGAAGCATATATGTTTTGCAATACAGCCCCATTTAAAACGAATTTCTAAGTGCGATTCAGATCCTTTTCACTATTTCAAGTATTTATAGGACCTAAAAATGCCACGTATGTTCAGGGTTTGACAGCGCCTTTGGCCTTTGCAATTTCCTAATCGAAAGATACTAGCTGATTAAAATCAAAAGTCAGAAATTGAAGAGTTGAAAGTCATATTTGGAAGATAATTGGTATGTTGAGAAGCGTTTGATTCAAGATGGCTAGTTGTTGCTCAAGTTGGGTAGCATGTCGTACTCAATCTTGATGTTGTGAAGATACGTGTTCTGGCACCTTCACTAGGGTGTTCACCGAAAACAAGTGAAGTCAACAATAACGTCGAAGACTTACAGTACGATATACTTCGGGGATTTATTTCTTATTACATACCACTCCACCCATAGTGGTGTGGTGATAACCCTAAGGCATTGATAAAAATTGACACGTAAACGTTATTTTGGATTTTTACGAAACGTTTTACACATATGTGGACATGTAAATAGACCAACTTTGTTGCTGACAATAAAAAAAGAACTAAGATTTAAAGCAAGCAGTCGTTGGACCTAAAACCCTAGATTAAACAAAAACTAATAAAATCTCTTGCTTGTAGTATTTATTCAGGTGTTCTGGATAGCTTACAATTTTTCCCACAGCACATCTTCGGCTGGTTGTCGGTTACCGGCAAAATTCCAAATCTGTCGTCAATTTTTGGGGATTCCATCTTAGCCATGGGAATTGCATTATTCGATTGATTACTGCGAAGCCACCCTTAATCTATCGTTTCCAATGTTGTCGTAAGTTCTGTTCTCATCAACGGTATAGTACTTGAGTTTGCTATCAGGAGCTCTGTATGGTTCTTCATGCGCAGTTCTTAGGGGTCAGCTTAATAAGTCGCGTCGTATAAAAATATCACTTGATTGCGGTTGAGTGGATGTAGGTTTAACTGAACCCATCACGCCAATAAGCCCACTCGTGTGAATGTTTATACCCATGTTCAGTGAATAAGATTAAAGTCTCACAAATCCTCCTGAAATATGGAGTGTCGTCTTGTAAACGAGTTGTGTTGCAGCATACTCAGCGTCAGCTATCACCTCATTGCGAATACCTAGTAGAACGAGTATGAGAGCGTCAGTTCATCGTGAAATGCTTGCAGCTGGAGGCAAAGTCTTCAACTGCTGAGGAGATTCTTCTACCAACGCATTAGCTTGTGGATAGAGGGTGGCCGTTTGATATTATTTGATCCCTAGTAGAGAATTGAGACAACAAAAATCTCTGTGTTTAGACTAGCGCTAATGGTCTGTCGCGTTGGTTGGTTGACAACTGAAATTTGCTATCAATCCATCAATGAAAGTATTTATCTATATTTCAGTAATAGTTTTGTTGATGGGTTCTTATAATGTTTTGAATTATTTGAATTATAGTACGAACTGAGAGTCCCAGAAATAACGCAATTGAATTAAGAAGTGAGACACAAGCACAAACGAATGTATTGTATTCGGAATTCAAAATCAAGCATTCAACAAGTACAAAGGTATTATAGTTCGTTCAAACACCACATCCGCCACAGCTTGAATAGAAGTATAAGTGTTTGTAATCGGTTGTACGTCTTCTTGTTAAGTTCATCCTGAGTCTGTCCGACATTGTATAAGATAAAAACTCTGTAGTATCTAGAAAGTGCTCATTAGTATTGGAATTAACAAACGAAATCGGAACACACTCACCTGGAATTGTATACAACCAGCATGTCAGTTTTGTAATGAAATCATTAATATCTAGAATTCGAACCATAAATTTTTCAACACTATCCTCCCCCACGAAATAATGTTGGATCTTTAAATCCCCAAGTTATGAATAATTCGGCTTCATTTAAAACACATTGTTTAGAGTAAACATTAGAACTTTTTGTGATAAGGGTAAACAGCAGTTGATATGAAATCATCCGAAATGTAATCAAACTCGAGGTCACTTAGTACTCGTGCTTCGCATTGAGCAGATTTTTCACAAGGATCAAATGCATTATGAGGATAGATAATATATGATATGACATCAGGATTTGATTTTTCTGAAATATTCTCATGAAATTCATTAGGACTGTCATTGCAGAGCGTAGGATCGTTAGAAAAATCAGCATCTATCCAAACCACATCAGGTTTCCAATCATGATTAGGTTCATTTAACATATTTTCCTCAGAATTGCAAGTAATTTCATTAGAAATATGTGAATTATTAGGAAAAGTCATACCCCGTACAATAGCATGAGAATTCTGATAAATCGGTTGATTAGGAATTGTTGTCTCACAAGAATTCTGGATTTCATTTAACTCTGAACTGCCATATGACTCTGCACTGTCTTTTGAAATCGTTGATAAAGATAAATGATCATCATGAATACTCGACTCAGTAGAATCAGAATTACAATACTTAATATTAGTTACACTAAGATGAACATTAGCATTACAAACTGACTGAACTTGTCCGATATCACAACATTTGAAGCACTTAGAATTACGAAATTTACATGAATTAGAAGAGTGGAACTTGCAACAGGACAAACACTGACCAAACTTGTCCCCATCCTCGTGAACTGCATCCAAACTCAATGAATTGTCTGCATAACCTTGAGTATGCACTGGGTTGGGATGACGTAGTAATTTAGTGGTGTTTTTTTATATCCTCATGAATCATTTTACGAGATCTTCCTCCTTTACCGAATTCGAAATTTGTATAATTAACATAGTCTTGCAGCAGTTCCTCGAGAGTTGTATAAGGAAGGGAAATGGGCTTTTCCGGCATAGCCAGAGTTCTTAATAAGCTGTATGCTTATTTTCCAATGAATGTGAGGAAGTGTGCCACAATATTAACATCCTCATCATCTTCCTTGGTCATAGCCCAGATTTCGAACCTTTCAAAGTAATCTTCAAAAGCTTCTGAA